CACAGAGGAGGAGATGTGAGCGTGCATGGATGGGAACCGTGGGGTTCTGAGGCACAGGTACACCAGCGAAGAGCATCTACACACTCAGAAGGGAATGAACGGTAACTGAGAGTCCACCGGGGAACAGAGGGAGTCTGAGCACACCGAGAATGGGAGGGACCACAGCGGCTTGTGAGGGAATAGAGATCGCATGGAGGGGAATGGACGGGGTCTGAACGCACACAGAATTGAACAAATGGGGTCCATGTGCCCTCTGGTGCAAGGAAGAGGCTTCTCTTTGGTTCTCTCTACTTCCAAGAATTAGTCCATTTACCTTTTGGTGTATCCAAAAGAAGATGCACCATCGGAGGCCTCCTGAACACCTCAGATTCCTCTGTTTGCCATCTGGTGCCACCCAGAGCCCCCCTTTCCTTCGCAGTGCATCCCAGCGTGCTAGATCTGCTCCCTTTTCCTGCCAGAGGCCTCCAAACTCTAAGGTCTCTTAGGTTATGGCCCCACCCTGTGTTCTGCTCCTCCTCTCTAACAGTGTTTGGGGGAGCAGGTAAAGGTCTGGGTGCTCCAGACAAATTCAGAGACTAACAAGTTTAGGTACATTTAGGAGATATCGTCATCACAGTCATCAGGTTTGGGGTTTTTTTAATCTTTCCATCAAGGAATCACATAGCACTCTTCCTCTACTGTTTGTTATTACAGACATAATGTCTAAAAAACCTTTAGCAGTAATTTATCCAAATTACCAAACTGAAGTCGACTAGGTTATACAGTGGTAAGAAAAGTAAATACGTGATAAAATGCTTTTAGGCAAACGCTCAGAAGAGAAAGTAACTTGGCATTTGTAACGGTCATGACATACAAAAGTATTATGCATTAATACCTGTGCTACATCAGTATCAGGAGAAAGCTTTCCTGCAGGAGGCAGCCTGACCTTTCCTTAGTGCCCCCTGTTGAAATGCGGGGTCAGGTATCAGTCTGTATGCAAGTCCAAGACCTCCAGATCTCTAACTTCAGCATAATCCAGGTGTTTGGAACGGTTCCGATTTGCACATGCCACCTCCAACGCAAGGAAAATAACTGCAGAGATTTTGGTCAGCAGGGACAGATCCGTGTGTCAAGCTCCCCTAGGGTGAATCCAGGTGTCTGGAATTCTCTGGGGGACCCTGTTGTCCAGGTCCAGGGGATGTCTGGGAATCACCAAGGTCTGGGCGGTCACAGCATTTCCAGATGCCCCTGGGAGGCAGAAAAAGGGAGAAAGGGGAGGGTGGAGACAGATGATGGGGCATCTGGGGCCACAAAGGGCAACTGTTGGGTCTAAGGGTGAAATTATGGAACCCTAGGGGCAACTGACTGTAATCAGGGCCCCAAAGAGACAATGGAGGTTCTGGGGAAAATGAGGAAAGTGGCAAGGTCTCAATGGCAATTAGGGAACGTGGTGGAAACAAGGAAGCCTGGAATGGTCCTGGCTGCAAGGGAGGGGTCCTGAAATGAGGACAATAGGAGTACCAGGGGGAAACACAGGGTCCTGTAATTTTAAGAGTCTTTGGTCCTCCTTGGACACTCAGGTCCTCTTGCATTTGTAAGAGATCCCAAGGGACTGAGGGTCAAGGGCGCGTTCAGAGTCCCACACGTGTCTATGGGAGCCCCAGAAGTACAGGGATCTTGAGGATAAGGTTCACCAGTTCAGGAGTACTCACACCATCAGCAGCACAAGCACCACGGCGCCAAGTGCCAGCCCCAGCCCCAGCAACAGCCCCAGCCACGTCCTGTGGTGCAGGGGGCTCCAGTCAGGCCAGCGCAGCACGTCTCTGAACAGGGCCTGGAGTCTTTTCTCTGCCTCCACACTTCCCCCTGAAACTGCAGAGACCCAGAGTCACAGGGCGCTGTTCCCCAGGGACAAGGTGCTCCTCTCCTGCTCTACCTTGCTATCCTGAAGAACCCCCCGCACCACCCCACGTGCCCCCAGACAAGCCGGGCTTCAGGGAATACCTGTTCCACTCCACCCATCCTCAACAGACCTGGGTGTCCTGGTACTCTGCTCAACACCTCCACGCACCACCTCCTCCCACAGACCCGTGGCTCTGGCATCCCACTCCACCCCATGGTCCCACTGCCCCCAGGGTGTCTGGGCTCACCATTGAGGTAGAAGTACTTGCGGGCAAAGGGCTCGGAAAGTTCGCCCAAGCGACAGGCAACAGTCCCCTGAGTGGGCTCATGGATGGTCAGGTTGACAGGTCCCTCCTCAGCCCCCTGCAGCTCCTCAAACATCATCAGGTCCTGCGTGCGCAGCTGGGGCATGGGGGGACACGTCAGCACAGACGAGCCCGCCGGCTACACGAGGCAGCACACATGTGCATGCAAAGGCAGCCGGGTCCTGCACGCACTCGTCATGTCCCCTTCGTGCTTCTCGCACCCTTCACTCGTGCACACACCTCGTGTC